AAAATTAGCTGCATTCTCTACACACTAGCAGTGAATGATATTGAAAAAGAAATTTAAAAAAACAGTTCATTTTACCATAGCAGCAAAAAGAATATAAAATATTTAGGAATAAGCTTAACCAAGGAAGAAAAAAAGTATTGTACTATGAAAACTACAAAATATTGCTGGAAATTATTAAAGACACAAATAAAGGGAAAGATATCCTGTAGTTATGGACTAGAAGACAATATTGTTAAAATATTCATCTTACCCAAAACAATCTATAATAATCTCAATGGCATTTTTTTCTTTTGGTAGAAACAGAAAAAAAATTTCTAAGAGGTCCTGAGTTGCCAAATCAATCTTAACAAAGAAGTATAAAGTTAGAGGTTCACACTTCCTATTTCTAAAACAAATCATAAAGGGTAGCACCTCTGTCTCAAAGGAGTAGGGCGTCGGCCTCATATACCAGATGTGGCAGGTTCAAACACAGCCCCAGCCAAAAACCACAAAAAAAAAAAAAAGATCATAAAGCTACAGAAATTAAAAGAGTGTGTTGTTGGCATAAACACAAAACTAACAGACCAATGGAACACAACAGAGAAACCAAAAATAAACTCATATACATGGTCAAATGATCTTCAACCAGATTGTCAGGCCAGAAAAAAAAAAGGACAAGAGGAGCCTGTTTAATAAATAGTATTAAGAAAATTGTACATACACATGAAAAAGAATGAAATTCTTCACTACATATAAAATTAACTCAAAACTGATTAAAGACCTAAGCATAAGAATAAAATAAAATTCTATAGAAAACATAGGGAAAAGGCCTTATTGGCATTAGATTTGGCAATAACTTTCTGTATATGACATTAACAACATAGGCAACAAAAGCAAAAATAGATAATTGAGACTGTATCAAATCTAACGTCTGTACATCAAAGAAAACAATCAGGCCAGCGCCTGTGAGTAGGGCACCAGCCCCATATACCGAGGGTGTTGGGTTCGAACCTCGCCCTGGCCAAACTGCAACCCAAAAAAAAAAAAAAAAAATCTATTAATTCAGTGAAAAGGAAACTTGCAAAATGTAAAAAAAATTACAAATCATATATCTGGATGAGGGGTTGATATCCACAATATAAAATAAATTTTATATATAGTGAAGTTAATTTTACATATAATTATAATTTTATATATAGTGAGTTAATTTTATATATAGTGAAGAATAATGAAAATTTGTAGCCTGATTAAAAAATGGTTAAAGAACCAGAAAAAACATTTCTCCAGAGAAAGTAAATGGCCAACAAGCATATGAAAAGATGTTCAACCTAACGAATCATTAGACAAATGTAAATCAAAACAAGATATCACCTCACATCCATTCAGATAGTCAATATCAAAAGAATAGAAAATAAGTGTTGACAAGGATGCAGAGAAACTAGAACCCCTGTGCACCCCTGAGTTGGTATGAAGTAAAATTGAACAGTCTCTGAAAACCAGTATGGAATCTTCCTCAAAAAATCTAAAGGTAAAACAGAATTACCATACAACCCAATAATTCCTCTTCTGGGTATAGATCCAAAGCAACTGAAAACAAGATTTTGAAGAAATATTTGTGCAACCACATTCATGGCAGTGTTTTTATTAAAACTGGCCAAAAAAGGATAGCAGCCCAAATGTTTGCTGACAGATCAAAGATAAAAAGTTCTAGAGAACTGTTATCTGTTAACTGTATTATCTGTTACACATAATGTGAATACATTGAATGCTACTTAACTAACTGTACACTTAAAAATGTTTAATAAGGCAAATGTCATGTGTTTTCATCACAATTAAAAATCTGTAATTTAGATTTAATCCAAAATTTAACTGGGAATCCATTCAGTAACTTATTTTCACAGACACAGGATAAGTATAAGAAATACACTGAGGGTGGTGCCTATGGTTTAAGGAGTAGGGCGCTGGCCCCATATACTGAGGGTGGTGGGTTTGAACCCAGCCCAGGCCAAAAAAAAAAAAAAAAATACATTGACTATTATTTTTTAAAAGGGAACTAGAAAGGATGAAAAATAGTATTAACAGTCATCAGTCAGTATAATAGATTAGATTATGAATGTGGTCTTAGTAGCAAACTGCCTGTGAAGGTTTTCTGTTCTTTTAGAAATTGAAACAAAAAATGTGTTAAGACAAACCTGAAAGGCAGAGTGTGTTTTAACTGGTAAATAGAAGACCAAGGAGCAAGTCTAAACAAAAGAAAAGCATTTAAAGCTGTATTTTTTTGGCCGGCTATTTTGAATTGGGGGAGCACTAAACTGTTAAACATTCTAGATTCCCCTGTTTGTAACACCTAGCAAGAAACAAATTTGTAAAAATTTGTAAAATGTAAATATGTAAAATTATAGTGGACATCAGAATTAAAGGGCAAAGAGGTCAGACAAAATAAAGAAATTTAAGAGTAAATCATCACAAGGGGCTCGGTGCCTGTAGCTTAGGGAGGCAGCCACATACACCAGGGCTAGTGGATTTGAACCAGCCCTGGGCCTGCTAAACAACTACAAAACAATAGCCAGGCATTGTGACTTGAGAGACTGAGGCACGAGAATTGCTTAAGCCTAAGAGTTTGAGGTTGCTGTGAGCTGTGATGGCACAGTGCTCTAGTGAGGGCAACACAGTGAGACTCTGTCTTTAAATAAATAAATAAAATAAACAATCATAAGGCAGTGTGGTAACTGACCATGAAAATGGTTATATATAAGTACAGTTTAAAACAATCAGCAGGACTCCATTCCACCTACTTTTGTAGGAATTAAGAAATGAAAGAACAAAATTCTTGGTATTTCTAAAAATCTGACAGGTCAAAAGAAAAATATTAATAGTAATGGACAGAAAGACAGCCTTACCCACAAGCTAATAATGAAAGGCACAAAATTTGAAGGAGTCAAGACAACTTTAGCATTTTTCTGCAAGCACCACACATCCTAACTGATCAAATTAATCATTTCCAATCTTTAGGAATTATACGTATAGTATTTCTTCCTTGTTTCAATACTACTTCTAGTTCTGCAAAATGGTAACTCTTCAGAGACTGTAATACTTTTATCTTTATTCCTTAGACTATCTGCCTAATAGACAAGAATTGGAAACTGAAAAATACATGATGGGCTGGACATGACTCAGTTCAGACATAGGAATGAAAGGGAGTAAGTAGAAATTCATGCTGTATAACATAAATGGAAAAATTTCAAAGACAAATGTTCAGTTCAGACATAAAAACAATAATTTTTTTTTTTTTTTTTTTTGGAGACAAGAGGCTCACTGTGTCGCCCTCAGTAGAGTGCTATGGCATAACAGCTCACAGCACCCTCCAATTCTTGGGCTTAAACAATTCTCTTGCCTCAGCCTCCCAAGTAGCTGGGACTACAGGTACCCACCACAACACCCGGCTATTTTCTTGTTGCAGTTGTCATTGTTGTTTAGCTGGCCCTGGCCGGGCTTGAACACACCAGCCTCGGTGTATGTAGCTGGCATCATAACCACTGTGCTACAAGTGCAGAGCCCAAAAATAAATTTTTTAAACAAAAAGTTTAGACCCATATGCTAATATTTAAAAAAAGAACAGCTCAGCTTTTACATTATAACAAAGCAACTAAGAAAACTAAGAAACTAAAACTAAGAAAATGGAGTTTAGAAATAAGACAGTTCATTACACCACTTAAAAAGACTATAATAAAAAGACTTTGAGTCTGACCAAATAAAAATTTCATGAGATTAGTTTTACAGAACAAAAACAAGAACAGTTTACTCAAGAAAAGAGTCAGAGCTTAAAAAGTTAAGTAAAAAAAAATAGAGCTAGAAAACAGATTAGTAAAGCTAAAAACCACAGAAGAGTAACATGGGGGGGGGTCCATTCATGATGACAAAACAGCTGCATATCTAGACTGTGGTAGGTGCTAAATAAATCTATACACATGATCAGACTGCACAGAACTACACACACACATGCAATGAATTAATTTAAAAAACTGGTGAAAACTGATAATGTTTATAAAGTACTTAACAAATTTGTATCAAGTTATTGGTTTTGACATTGTGCTACTGTGATAAGTGATTTTACCACTGAGAGAAGCTAAGTACATAGTTCACAGGATTATGTCTGTGTAGTACTGTTGCCACTCCCTGTGAATACTTTAACTAAAATTTCTTCTAAAAAGTCAAGTAAAGAACATATGAAAATGTATCAATACAGAAAAATCCCCATGTATAACAACAACTATTGAAATTATTATGATTATTGTCAATTAGTATGTGCCAGACAATGGAAGTAAAAAAGACAAAGGAATATGACTTCTCCAAATGAAGAGAAAAAAAAGAAAATACAAGAGGAAAAGTAAAGAAATTCAATTGAAAACTACAATGCAATATACAAGTTCTATGTTAAAAAATGAATGAATAATAAAGGAAATAATAGAGGAATAACAAATAAATAACAAAAAACAAAGGCAATTAACAGAAGACAAGTTATGCTGTAATGTTTCGCTTAATTTTATACTAAAAAACATCTGCAATGTCTAGGGGAATAAAGTGACTTAATTAGTGCATAATAGAGGACTGACAATACAAGGAAGAAAGGAGGGTGAGAGTAGGAATACTACAGGCAGTGGAATACTGCCTTGGGGAAAACAAGAGACTAGACTAGGAAACTGGCCAAAACATAAAAAGAAAGAAACAAGGTAAGACAAATCCCTAAAACCTAATTTTAAAGATGGATAGGAAACACAGGTTCAATAATACCAAAACCTAAAATAATTTATATAAATGTTACTATGCAAGACTAGTAAGTAAAGATTAGGAAAGCATTAACTAGTTCCAGAGCTGCAATTCCAAAAATAACACACAGGAGTACATACAAGTATGAAAACAAATTTAAGACTTATAATAAAGAAAGTTTCTTTCTAATCTAGTATTTCCTAAGATTACCACATAGAGCTAAATATTTGTTATGCAAGAATAGAAATTCTTACTTCTTGTCTTTTCTTAAGATCTTCTTTGGCTGCTCCAAACCGTTTGGTTAACCTGGCTATCTTGGCCTAGGGGGGAAAAAAATGGAAATCAAGTGGCATTACAGTGTTAATAAAGAACCCAGCATATTTAAGAGACTCACAGATTAACTGGATCCACAGAAGAAATAAGAGTAAAGAAAATAAGGTAGGTAAACAGATTATAAAATATATACTTGGAAAATGCAGAAACTCTTAATGAAAACTGAAGTGACCCCTGAACTTAATAACCAGATATAACTACTCTTAAGTAGAAGATTAGTGTGTTTCCTCCTAGGACTTATGGGTGTTATTCAGATGCCAGTACATTTCTGAGTATGCATTTTGTGCTATTTTTTAGCATTTTTCTCACCAAAATTATAAAATGGACATTATCTGTAAATCATAAAAGTTCTCTTGCCAATACTACTTACAGATTTTAGATACAGGGTTTATTAATTTGTGACATTTTCAATAGCAGTGCAGAGTTAACTGTCTGATAAAAATGTAAAATTGTTAGCGTCTACATTTGTCACTGAAATTATTAATTATTTGTACTGCTTATATAAACTGATCACATTTTGCCTAAATATATATTCAAAGGGAATCTGAAAATAAAAAAGTAAAATAAGAAGAAAAGAAGAATTATCACATCATTACAGGAATATCTCATTGTATAGATGTGATATTCAATTACTTCAGTTGTTGTTACTGTAGGCCATTTTAAATTAAATATGTTATCAAGAATATCAAAGTAACTAATGTGTTCATAAGGCCTGCCTAAGGAGGAACTCTGCCGGAGAATTTCTATTACCCAAAAAAGGATATTCATTTCATAAAAATAATCACTCACTTCTAAAGTTTCTTTCTCAAAGTAGTCACTTCTAAAGGAGACCTCTAATCTTACAATAGTATACATAAGTTCAATAATATGGCCTAGGCAATCAGTCTCCTATAACTCCCAAAGAAGATTTTCCTCAGGAATTAATTATGTACGCATATCATTAAGGGCCAAGGACATATAGCATAATTTTACATACCAAATATGGGTTTTATCTTTCAGGGATGACTAAAATATTTCAAATAATTCTTTCAAAGTATATGGGGAGGTATTTTCTATTCCCCAACTTACATAAGAATGTCTTTCTTCTTTATCAGATTACCTACATGAGTATCTATAAACTGTACAGTATGTATAGTATTACTATTATTCTAACATAAATTGAAAACTAAAAAAAAATGTGTATTAATATGTTATATATATGCAAAATTATTGCAAGGATACATTCCAAAGTTAAAGTTAATCTGGAGGTCAAGACTACTAGGAAGTGAGAGAGAAGGTAAACAGAAGGACTTTGTTTTCATGTCATACGTATTTCTAGTATTCAAATTGTTTTTAATTATCATTTTAAAAAGTCAGTAACAAAAAACTCTCAAAGTATGGGCACAAATTTACTGTCTTCTGACATTTAACATTATAAAAAAGAAATCAAAAAGCGCAGTCTTTTTGTTTTTATTTTTACATAGGAAACTATACAATGTTTATTATTATAATTCAAAATAGCTGCCATCTTGTGTCTAAGAGTAGGTCTCTATTTTCGCAAGTATTCTGTGAGACTTTTTGTTTTGTCTTTTTTTTGAGGCACTGTCACTCTGTTGCACAAACTATCGTCCCAAGGTATTAGCTTAACTCAAAGTAACCTCAAACTCCTGGGTTCAAGCCATCTTCCTGCCTCAGTCTCCCAAGTATCTGGGACTATAGGCATTTACCATGACAATGGGCTAATTTTTCTCTTTTTAGTAGAGCCAGGGTCACTCTTGCTTATGCTTGTCTCAAACTCTTGAGCTCAAGTGATCCCCTCCCACCTTGGCCTCTCAGAGTGCTATCACTACAGGCATGAGCCATTGTGCCTGGTCCCTGTGAGACTTTTTAAAATGCATAAACATGTCTTTTCTTAAATTCAGAAAAGTAATATTCTATTTTGTCATTCATTACTATTTCTGTTTCATTTTTCTTGGTTTCTTCCTTAGGTATACATACAATTTCTTATATAATGAAACAACAGTAGCTGTTTAAATATAAGTCACATGAATTGTTGGAAGTCAGACACATTGGGCCTTGTTTAACAAACAAGACAAACCAAGTTTTTCTTTGCAATGTACTGAGAAATCTCCTGGGAAATAACTGCTTAAAAAAAGTCAATCTTGCATCAAATTTGGCATAATAAATATCAGTACCCCAAAAAGTAAGTGTATATAGATACATGGTATTTATTATTCAAAACTATCTTCTGTAGTCCACTGTGATAGATTTACTTCATTGGTAGGGAAGAAAAGGAAAGAGACTGAAGGAAAAAGTGTAATAGGTATTCTCAGTTAAAACTACTTAAGGCTTGGCACCCGTAGCACAGTGGTTATCACACCAGCCACATATACCAAAGTTGGCAGGTTCGAACCCAGCCTGGGCCAGCTAAAACAACAATGACAACTGCAACAAAAAATAGCTGGGCGTTCTGGTGGGCACCTATAATCCCACCTACTTGGGAGGCTGAGGCAAGAGAATCACTTAAGCCCAAGAGTTTGAGATTGCCGTGAGCTGTAATGCCACAGCGCTCTACCGAGGGCAACATAGTAGGACTCTGTCTCAAAAAGAAAAAAAAAACTACTAAAATTCCATTTTCTAAGGCATAAGCAATGGAATACTGTGTTCTAAGGTATGTTCATAGTTTTCTTATTTTCACAAAAAATCCGGTTCAAATTTTAAGTATTCAGAATTTGTACTGTATAGTGATTTGAAAAGAATCAAGTTCTCGGGGAGGCGCCTCTGGCTCAAGGAGTAAGGCACCAGCCCCATATACCAGAGGTGGCAGGTTCAAGCCCGGCCCTGGCCAAAACTGTAAAAAAAAAAAAAAAAA